ATATAAGGGCACTAATCTCACTCTTTAAAAAAAAAAAAAAAAAAAAAAAAAAACTTATTTTTATTTTACGTGTAAGAGTGTTTTGTCGGCATGTATGTAAGTGCACATGATTGGGATGTCCACGGAGGCTGGAGAAGGGTGTCAGATTCCCTAGAACTGATGTAAGGATGGTTGTTAATCACTATATGGGTGCTAGGAACCAAACCTGAGTACTTTGCAAGAGCAGTCAGTGCTCTTAACCACTGAGCCATCTCTCCAGCCCACTAATCCCATTCTTGACGGGCTTGCCCTTTGAACTAATTACCTCTAGAAGCCCTCCCTCTTGATGCAGTCACCTTGGAGGTTAGGATTATAACATGTGTTTTGGGGGATATACGCATTAGAACACAGCAACTCATGACTAACACTGTCAGAAGTATGCTAATTGTTTACTATTTGTTGTTTAAATAAATATAAGCAGAGATCCTAACATTACCAGGCTGAAGCCCAGCCCATATTTCTGATCCGTTCTTGTATCTCCTAGTCTACCACAAACTAAATTCTTTGAAACTATTTCTGGAATAAGGGAATGAAGTGAGCGATTGTGGCTTGAAGCGATCAATTTTCTTGCTGATTTTACATTGTGTTTTCTGTAACAAGTGTTTTTTCCAGTGTAAGATCAACTTCCTTCCACAAGGTTTGATTCTGAGTTCCCCTCTCTTTCCTCCTAATTCCTGCCTACCTATTTGTAATCTGATTTTGGATTTTACAAACATTCCAGAATAGATATAGGATTTACAATGGGCAAGAACTGAAAAGCAGGATTACTAACTGAATGGAGCCCCTGTGAGGGTTACTGTTTAAAATCAAATCAACTCTTATCTGGTTTTGAGCTACGAAGATTAAATATTTGTGACAGCATTTAGTAAACAGATAAACATATAGTATGGTCATATTGTAATGATACATTTTGCAGAAAGTAACTCCCAAAATGTCCAAGTGTAGCCTTTCCTAAAAACCCAAGGAGAGTATTTTTACATCTTTCTGTTGGATATTCATCAAGGCTTATTCACCAACACTTAACAGAATGGAAGCAATCCAAGCAGTGATCAACACTATTTTAGAAGTCAGGAAGAATTAGTAATTTTTATAGGTTAGTTTTCAAAGGTGTGTCATTTATGATCAAAATAGCTAAAAATTAGGTTGACTGTAAATAGTCCTTAAGCATATATATGTATAGTTAATAGATAACTGAAATTATCTTGTCATGTCATTAAAATATGTTAAATTTGCCTGTTGGTATAGACCTGTAATCACAGTTACTCAGGAGACTGAGGCAGGAGGACCACAAGTTTAAGGTTTGCATGGTTACAGAATGAGTTCAAGGCCAGCCTGGGCAAATTAGTAAACTGCTGTCTCAAAATAAAAAGTAAATTAATAAATAAAAGTATCAGGGTAGGGCTGGGCATGGTGGCGCACGCCTTTAATCCCAGCACTTAGGAGGCAGAGGTAGGTGGATCTTTGTGAATTCGAGGCCAGCCTGGTCTACATAGTGAGTTCCAGGAGAGCTGGGGCTACAAGGAGACCCTGTCTCAAAAAAAGACAACAACAACAAAAAGTGTCAGAATATAGCTCAGTGATAGAGTGTTCTCCCAGAATGTACCAGACCCTGGATTTAATGCCCAGTATTGCAAAAAATAAAAACATTAGTATACAAAAATAAAACAATTTATTCATCAGGGAGATCCCAATGGCCCCCAAACAACACAGCCTACTTCTATTGCTATTGGTTGCCCATGGAAACTAGGTGTTCAGACCTTACTGCTGAAGATACAACATACTTTGGTTACAGGGCATAGAGAAATCAAGCCAGAACTGACCTGAAAACTTCTTTCTTGCTGGCTAGCTTTCACAGTGCTGGAAGGTATTATGCAGGCCACTGAGGTAGAAGAGCCATCAGTGGTGTTATTCAGTGGTGAAGCCTGAATGCTGCAATACTAACTTGCCAGGCAAGATGTGCCCACTGGTACAATAGTGGCACAGGGGGTTATCAAGGCAACCAATTGCTTTTGGATTGGATTTGAGGCCTGCTCCAGAGAAGAGAATTCATGCCTAGTACTGTTACCCTGCTCAAAAGTCCATGGCTCAGGAGGTCATAGACCCTGGGGTGAACCTACTACTGTTGTCTTGCTAAATGGAAATATCAAACTACCTGCTAAATATTTATGTTTTTGCACATAGATTAGTGCTACCTTCAACCTTGGCCATAGAAGGTTCTCTCTAAGTAGTGAGCAATTAATACAGAATTTTCTAACTGGTCAAAGTGCTGAGAATAAGTGACTACTGAATGCTCAGGCCTAAATGAGCATCTGTATCAGTCTTCCCTACCCCCACACTCCTCAAATCCCTGCCGAGGCTCAGAGAACATTGTTGAAAGGCTGATGAAAAGAATATAAAATGTAACAACCATCCTCGGGAATTGCATGACACAGGTGTACTTACATACATGCAGGCATAACACTCATACACATAAAATAAATAAATAAATAAATAAATAAATTTAAAAAGATGTAACAGCTAGAGAAGGGGAGGAGTGCTGCAAAATGCTCTCTTCTAGATAGGACATGGCCTTTGAACTCATGAACTCACTGCAGTGACCTGCATAAGAACTGCCCAACATCAAGCTAACAAAATCAGTCAACAGGCAATACTGACAGGACTCAGTGGGCTACAAAAAGAAAACAAAAGTTGAAAAAAAAGAAGAGGGCATGAAGCTGGGGGGATTGTGCTGGGAGTGCCTGGGGACAGGGAGAGGAGGGAGTTGGTGGTGGATGCCATGGGATATATTTTTTACATGTATAAAATTGTCAAATAAAACATAGTCTATTGAAAAAAAGAAAAGTTCCTGAAATGTGTCTTTTTCTTTCTTAAAGATAATAGTTCTGTTTCCTTGTCAAATGTTTGTGTCCCCTTTCCCCTTATTTTTAATGTATGAGTTAATATTAATTTGGAAATCAAATTATGACTTCCAGTAATTTAGTATTTTTCTTATTCGTCAAAAGGCAGTGATGTTTTCAGTTTCTGTTTTAGTATTGCACAGATAATTTACGTGAAAGCAAGCATCAGCTTATACTGAAATTGATTTTTTTCTGCAAAAAATTTATTTGACTATTAGAAATATGGGGCACTCATCTTGAAAAGGGAGATGGTACAGAAACAATTGGTTAGAAAGAGGAAGAAAGAAGCCGCCTGAGCTTTCTTGAAAGCGTACAGTGTTGGGAGCGGAAACCATAGCAAGATCAGACTGAGAGAATCGGGAAACACATTGTAGCGTCATGTCTGCTACTTAATAGCCTCCTCTGCTAATTCTGAACTCTAAGATACTTCCGCAGTGGGTTTGAATGGGACAGTCTCCTGTGATAAGTGCAGGGAGGGATTTCTCGCTAGGGCCAGTTCAGGTCACGGTTCTTTTAAAGGTGGTGTGCTTAGGCATAAACTGGTTATTAACATTTTACCGTAGTTCTACTTTCTCAGGAAAGTACCTAACTGCCCCTCCCCCTCCCCCTCTCGTTGTTTCGAAAAACGTAAGAAAAAACGTAGGATGACAAAATTCTCTTTGCCACTGGTTTGCATTGTACCGTCCCCTTAACTCCTTTCTAGGAGCCAGAGGGTCACACTGTACAGTGAAGCAGTTTTTTGGCATTTGTATAAAGCTGAGGTGATCTTTGTGGGAGGTTGCTATGACAATTTGCAAACAGCATAGGCAATTGAACGCCGCAGGAGGTGGCTCCCTTCTGACTGAAGTCTGCACTAGTTGGGGCCTGTACTCTTGGTCCAGCCAGGATCCTGGAGATACCAGGACCCACGAGCCTGGAGACAGACTGGACCCACCACCCCAAGAGGACTCCAGAAACTGGGCATTTCTCAAGAAGGAAGTGCACGGCCTCACTTTCTTTTTCCTCCCTGTCTGCTGGGATTTCTTGAGCTTTTTCCCACTCCTGACAGTTGACGTGGACAAAGGCACCCAGTGTTCCACGCACGGCCAGGCGCAGGTGTGCGACGGGGGTAGGGTGGGACAAATGTTTGTTCTTCGGGCAAAAAGACGCTGTAGACAAAAACGCACAGGGCGGAGAACGTCTCCTCCTGTCTTGGAAGAAGGGAAAAGGAATCCTTTCCTCCTAGCTGAGGCTTTAGAGGTGTCGCTCCCTAGCACACAGAGCTAAAAGGAAGGTGTGTCTCTCCCTGTGGCCGCGCTGGGGAAAGGCTCGGAGTTGTAAGGAAATGGGAGGTGTCTCTGATGTTTATTTTTGCCTAGCAACCCACAGCCAACTGCTTCCCCAGCTGCCGTCCACACGCGCCCGTCTGCCTCCCCTGGTCCTAGCGACTGGAGAGCAGCGGTCACTCGGTGTCAGTAAATCGGGGCGGGCGTGTGTGGCCGATGTGGGAGGGCACCCCTGGTCACTGGCTCAGCTGCAGTCCCTCCTCCTCGGGGCCTGACTTTCCGAGGTGACCCTCACACAACTAAGTTATCTACATGAGAAATCCGGGGAGAGGGGATGCTTCAGCCCCTGGGATGAAGACGGGGGTGGGGTGAGGGGGGTGGGGGGGCAGTATTGTTTGGGAGCAGCCATTAGGAGCCAGGTCTTGGGGCGCGAGGGCAGTGGGAGGGGTCTCTGCAGCGATTTCGGAAGGCGGCCAGCCGCGGTAGGTTGCGCTGCAGGGCCCGCAGGGGCGTTGCAGGGACCCGGAGGCGGGCCCTGGAGGGGCACGGTGGGCTTCCTGGGGGAGCCCAGGGGACCGGCAGATGGCCGGGGGAGAGGCGGAGGGCGAGCCGGGGCTGCGGAGGAGCGTCAGCGGAGGATCGGAGGGGGAGGGACTCCCGTGGGTGCCTGGCTGCGGGTGGGGTGGACGCGAGCTGGGGCCGGGGGGAGTCCGGGGAGGGGCCTGCGGCGGGGGCGGGGCCGACCTTCCCAGGCGCGCGGGCGCCTCCGCGTGAGTGTGCGAGTGTGCATGTTAGTGTGTGTGCGCGGGCGCGCGCGAGCCCGGAGGACGCTCCCGAGCCAGTGGGTCCCGGCGGCCGCAGCCCGCTCCCCGCGGCCCCGATGTGAGGGAATCGGGGAGGCCAGGGCGCGGCTAGGGGAGGGCGAGGCATGTGCACGGCGCGGGGGGTGCTGCAGCCGCCCGAGGAAGAGGAGGACGGCGGCGGCGAGGAGGAGAGCGGGGGGCTCGCGGCGGCGGGCCCGGGCCGAGGGGATGCAGCGGGCTGTGTGTGTCTGGCTGTAGCGGACGCGAGGCGGCGACGAGACGCCGGAGACCCGCGTGAGGGCTTTGCAGGAGACGGCGGCGGCCGCGCTAAGTAGCCGCGGGCCCGGCGGCGGAGGGGCAGCCCTGCAATGCATGTTCCTCTCCAGCGGCCATGTTAACCAGGAAACCTTCGGCCGCCGTTCCCGCCGCCTACCCGACCGGTAAGGACACGGAGCCTCGCGGGCTCAGCTTCGGGAGGGCGCGGGCGGACGCTGCCCCGCAGGAGACGGGACCCTGTGGGTGGCGCGGGCGCTGGCGGCGCATTGTTGCCCGCCTCCGGAGCCGGGTCGGGAGGAACCTGTCCCCGCGGGTCCCGAGCTGCGCGGCCCGGCCTCCCCTCCCCCGGCTCCTGGGACGTGGGCCCAGCAGGGTCGCCAACTTAACTTTGCAGCCCGCGGCCGCGGGAGTGCGCGGGGGAACTGGTCCCGACGCCCCCCGAACTCCCCGGACGCCGCCGGGTTTTCCCTGTCTGGGTGGCTCCTTGCATCCTCTCCCGGGAAGAGGGGTTCGCTAGCCATCGGGGCGGGGGAGGAGGTCTGGGTGGCCCTCTCCCCCTACCCTGACCCTCTTTTGTCTCCTCCCGCGCGTGGCTCCCAGGCCGAGGAGGGGACACCGCCGTTCGCCAGCATCAGGCTTCCCCGGGGATCGGCGCGGGGGCTCCCCGAAGTGGAGTGGGGACCGGTCCGCCCTCCCCCATCGCCCTGCCGCCCCTCCGGGCCAGCAACGCTGCCACCGCAGCCCACACGGTGAGACCCAGCCTGGGGACCGCTGGGGACGAGGCTACGGGGAGGGCCCCAGGCAAACCCCCGGGCTTGCAGGATTCTGACACTGTAAGAAGAGAGGGCCAAGTGCTCCACGCCCCTGGCCAGGGCCTGTCCTCGACGCCGCCCTCTGTAACTTGGGCGAGCCCAAAGCTGCTGCCACAAAGGAGATGCGTGGCGTGGGCCCCTCACTTCCCCTCTGGAGTGAGCCCGCCCACTCCTGAGCTCCTTTTCCTTGGAACTTCCTCCTTGCTGCTCCCCCCCCCCCTTTTTCATCTTTACTTCTCAGAGCCACCCCCCCCCCCAAGCTGGTAAATATCTTCTCCTCCCAACCCCAGGAGTAGTGGGTATTTATAGAAACATGTGTTAGGGGACAGCTAGGCCACCCTGCCCGGAAAATCAATCCCCCAAAGAGCCTCCGAGGCCTGGCCCCAGCCAGCAGGGAGCATCGCCAATTGTCCCTTGCGTGTGTAAGCATGTTTTATGAGTGCTACAGGTTTGAGCACAGCAGAAATTGTAATTAACATTAACAAAAATAAGAGCCACAGCAGCAATCAAAACAAAACAAGCCGCCTCTGTAGGATTCTCTACTTGGATATTATTCAAAAGGAAAGGGCCAACTTTGCTTTGTAGGTGGCAGGGGAAGGGCACCTGACAGGTGCTGTGGTCCCTGGAGAGCCACAAGGGAGGGGGAGCTGAGCCTGTGACTGGTGGCTGCAGAGATTGGCAAGCTGGATTCTACATAACATGTGCCTTTTCTCAGCTCCCAGGGACGGGCCTTGGATGGTGCCTGCCAGCCCAGAGGAGGTGTGTGCTTGGAGTATGTGAAGGTTTTAAAGGTCTCTTTCCTAAAGGCTATCTGTGTATGTTTGGGGGGCGAGGGGAGAACCCCAGGAAAGTTCTTCCTGAGGGTTTGGTAGGCATACAGTTTTGTTGCCAAGTGAAAGTTGCTTTCTTGTAAAAAGTGCCATTTGTGGCCTGCAGGGAGCATCTCTGGGGGTCATGTGTGACAAGGAAGCTTGTTTATTTAGAGCAAACTTGATGAAAGGACAAGTTAGTACAGACTGTAGCTGTGCCAGCTAGACATCTCTATATTGGTCTATGTAGACCAATTTCATAGAAGACAGTTTGTTAGTAATCATTCTTTTTCTTGCTGTGTCTAGTCCTAGGGGCTAGGAATTCCTGACCAAGGATTAGCTAACAGGAGTTGAACTGTTGATGGGAAGGAGAGGGTCTGCAGGTAAGAGAGGCCTTCCTGTTACACAACAGCATTTTAGATAAGGTATTGCCATTGGTTTTAGGGTTTAGGTTTTTTGTTGTTTGGTTGGTTTAAAATCATCTGACAATTTGGAAAATCTACCATCCAGGTTTTATTTTTTTTTTTTTCCATTTGTTGATGTGATCACATGACATAATGTGAACTGGAAAGGAAAATACTTGGTTTGCATCTGGATCCTGGTTTTGTAACCATGGGCTTTGCCTGGTCAAAACTTCTTTGCAATTGAAATATGTAGTGAAATTGGAGAGAAGGTAAAGTTTCCACTATCGGAATAACCTGTGGTGTGCCAGAAACTTCCAGGACTGGTGATGGATGCCTGTGCTTAGCTGTGGCATATGTCTGACTTACCTGTTTTAAGTAAACTTCTGTTGCTGTTCATTATCCGATGCTTGGTTTTGAAAGTGAAGATTTGTGTTTCAAATGTTGTTAGTTTTTATTTCATTTGCATGATAATTTAGATTTCATAGAAGTGTTAAAAGGACGACAGGTTTAATCTGGTTCTACTCCTGTATTTTTTCACGAGAATGCAGACTCCAAAAGTTTAATTGAATTGGTCAAGAGTCCCTGGTTCATTCACATCTGCACTATACAGTTCACACCCTTCTGAGCCTGCATTTAATACACTGCCCAGGACCACTAGTTCTAGGAAATGGTATCAGCTTTATTATCAATTCAAGAACCTTTGCAGATTCATATTCCTATATGTCTTTCAGATTGTTAGGAGTGTTTAGATGTTTAATTCCAGAGAAATTAGACCTGGAAAGCACTAACTTAGACTAAGTAGAAAGGGGCATTAACAAAAGAAAAATAGTGTCCTTGTAGACGCTTGCCTATCTTTTCCCTTGCAAGTGGTAAAGTAACGTAAATATGACTGGGAATTAGGAACTTTGGAATTTTCCTTGGCCATTTGTTTTCTGGTTTTGTGTAACCTTTATTTTACACGGTAGCAATTTAGTTTATTTCTGTTTGCTCTAAAACTAACCCCAGTAACTACTTTGATTCTCTTCCTTTTTTCTTTAGCATTATATGGGAGATAATAAAATACTAATTTAAAAATATTTCATTTTCTTAAAATTTCAAAATATTGTATGTATATAATTTTCCTAACAATTAATGCTGTTTAAATCACTCTTGAGTTACCAGTTATGCCTTTTTTAAATAGTTGGAATTAAAGAATTAAAATTTATATTTAAAAAATGTTTACATTTTAAGTAAGAAAAAGTGGCCATTTAACTCAGCTTCACAGGCTATCAAGATGTTTGAGGAGAGGTTCAATGTTTTTGGACTCAATTTTATTCCCATTACACTACCAACATTTCTAAGATGACTTGAGGGAGTTTATAAAACACCCAGGAGTCTCAGCACAGTGAAGATCTGCAGCTTGCCATTTTGTATTACAAGGGATTAAAGCTACCAGACTTGTTAGACTATTATTCTTATTCTTACATAATTTTTAATACTAAAGTATTTTATGATTGGAGGAGCAGTTTGTAGGTCTCTGCACCTTACCCTGTCTGCTTGTGGATGTTTAAACCGTTGTATTCAGTTCAGTGTGTATTCTGAAGTGAGACACACCATGCTAACATTAGCAAATAGGGCTAATCCATGGTCTCTGACTTCAGGAGGTATGAGTGGGAGTGAGAAGTTTTTAATGTCCTTACCTTTATGATGTGGTCCTGGCGAATGTGTTTTGGAAATGTTCTGGCTTTTCTAGTCCTCTCCCCTTTTGTACTTTTATACATCAGTGAATTGTGTTTTTGAGGTTGATTTCTGAGTTCTACCCTGTTGGATACTCAAAGTCCTCTTCTGTGAGACTTTCAAGTGACTCTCTTTAACTTCTGGAATGTGTAAGGCTCTTCTGTGTTGTTGAGGTGCCTGATACAGGTGTTTTTGAATATGGTGTCCCTTGCCTCAGAGGCACTGAAAGATCTTGTGACTTGGGTCCCCTGAGACATTTCCCAACTCCCTCAGTGTTGACTTTGTGTTTTCTTTTGAAGATGCAAAAACTGTTTCTGAAGATTAACTGTGAGAGATGAAAGTTAATGGGGATTTGATATGTGTGCTTCTATTCTTTACATATTCATTGTGTGCTGTAGGCCCAAATTTATTTTAATAAGGACTTAACAAAGGTAAGAGGCGACCCCATCCCTGGAACTACTTGGGTGCAATAGGTATTAAAACACCTACAGTGAAATGAAGCATAGCTGATAGAACAATACACTGTAGCACAGAGGGAGCTGTGTGCTGTCAGAGGAGTTGAGAGTTCCAGGCATTGAGGAGTGCATAGGAGTTCATCAACTGAAAGGAACATCAATAGGAGGAGGGAGATTCCAAAAGGACAGTAGTAATAGCTGTCACTTGCTCAGTACTATATAAGCACTTCACACACACTACTCTTTTAATCTTCCTAATAGCCCTATGAGGTAGCTTTGAAACCTTTTTACACATAAGGATACTGAAGCTGAGAGATTAGGTACATTGCCCAGGGTCACAAAGTAAGTGGTGGAGCTGGATTCATTCCATGTGTGAAAATCCCTAGGCGCTTATGAAAAAAAACATGTGACCTCATCATCAAGGGCAGAGTATGAAAGTGCATGATGCTTCCAGGGTCTTGGGAATTCAGCTTTGCTCCCCTTGGAAGGAAAGGTAGTGGTGGGTAGATCAGACTGGAAGACCTCAGGTCCTTCAGGCTCTTGTCTTCTTCCTGCACTCATTAGCTGTGGCAATGGAGTGCAGCCACCCACCATAAGCAAAAGCAAGAACATTCTCAGAATCCAACTCTAGAAACACTGTGGGGAGGAGTTTAGGCTAAGAAGCACGCAGGTGGGGAGGTGTAAGAGGCTGCTTCAGTTGTCCCCGTGAAAACAGCAGGAGTATAAGGTGAAATGTTGCTGATGGAAAGGGCATGAGTGAGTAGACACAGAGGCTGCATGATGGTGTGGGAAAGGGGGCAGGTGCTGAGAGGCTTTCCCAGGTATGCATTGCCAAAGACTCCCAGGTATGCAGCCAAAGTGATTATGTGGGAGGAACAGTTTTCTGCTTAACTAAAAGTGAGGGTTATGATAACAGAAAAACACTTTAGTTTAAAATGAAAGTCATGTGTCCATTTGAGCTATCTGTGGGAGAGCGAACTAATTATAAGTTGACCAAGGGTCTTGAACTGAGGACACATGGATTGGCAGGTATACAAGAGGAGCCAGTACAGATAAATAGCCTGTGGGTGCTTCTAAACTTCCAACTGTGATCAGGGAGTTGTGGGAGTGAAAAACCAAGAGAACTGAGGTATGGACACATTATCAGCAGGTGGGTTAATAACTGATACTGTAAAAGGGGACCAAGAAAAAGCATTGGTGGGCCAGTTTATTGGTGAGCGTTTTAATTCTAGGAATTAAAATATTTGTGATCATTTTTGGAATTATGCAAAACATAGTTGCTATAGCCCAAGTCAGAGTAAGTTTTTGATACTCAGAAAGTTTGATTTGCTTATCATTTTAGAAATCCCTAAATCACCAAGGAAAATTTTGTCCTTAATGAAGCCTCATGATTTGTATAGCATAGATAGGGTATTATAGGTTTTTCTTCTGAAATAACCTCCAACTTGCCCTGAAGAGAACACTTCTATAAGAGAAATTTCAAATTTTGGGTCCTTTCAGTCTTGGTGTTTGAAAGGCCACAAAGGAAAGGAGAACGGAGATGAATACTTCAGAAGAAAAGCCACAGACAGAGCAGGGTATGACGGCACATTAGTCATCTAGCGCTTGAGTGGCAGGTAGAGGAAGCGGGGAGGATTGAGTGTTTCAAGCCTAGCCTGTGCTGTATTAGCAAGTTCTTGACCAGCTCTGGCTACATATTGAGACTCTGTCTCAAAGAAGCATAGGAGGAAGGGAGGAGGAGAGGGAGGACAGTAAACAAGCTTGTACTGGTTTTTGTGTATGTGCAAGGCTTTTTCTATTGTACTTCTTAGACCACCTTGCTTTTGACAGAGAATGAGAATACCAACTACAATAATGGATTATATAGTCACTTAGTGTGGAGTATCATCTATGAGTTAAATTATAGAAATCTGCTAAAAATTTCTCTGAAAAATAAAATCCTTGATCCTGTGAAGTCATAGTCAGGCCCAAGAACTGACTTCCACTCTGTTTGGGAGCAGACAGAAGAGAGGGACTCCATAGATGGTCACTGTGCATGCATGCTGCTTGTCAATTAAAGAAAGTCTGAAGGTCATGGTCTCCTTGTAAGGAAGATTTGGAATTTCATTTTATAATCTAGGTGTTCCCAAACCATTTCTTGAATTATTGTGCTACATCTACAGAGCATTTTATTCTTCCAGAAATATGAATAACACCAAACATAGGATTTAGTAGTGGATAATAGGGAAAAGTGCCAATGGGAAAGGAACTCCACCTAATTTACTGAGTTCTGAGGCAGAGCCACTGCCACTTTTGTAGCTAAAGTCCCATTAATACTAGTTGAATGAATGAGGTTGATTATGAATAGCAAGTTATCTTTGAGATTCCAAGTGAAATTCTCCAGCAGGCTGCTTGAAGGAAATCCTAACCAGAGTCTCAGTAGGAGGCTACAGGCCTTTCTTTGCCCTGTCAATTTTGTTTAGACTTGACTATTCAGGGATGACCTCAGCTGCCAGAAATAGAAATTGCTACTTTGTATTTGTATATTAGTTACTTTTCTCCTTGCCTATAGCAAATACCTGTCAAGAACCAACTTAAAGGAGGAAGGGCTTATTTTGGCTCAGGGTTTAAGAAGGGATGCATACAGTGGGGGGGGGGCGGGCAGGAGAGAGGCAGCTGGTCACATGGTCTCTGCCTTTAGTCAGCAGGAAGAGATGAATGCTGGTACTTAGCTCCCTTTCTCCTTTTTATTCAGTCTGGGACTCCAGCTCACAGAATAGTGAGAACCACATTTAGGGTGGATCTTCTCTCCTTGACTAACCCAGTCTAGAAACTGTTTGATAGACATGCCCAGAATTTTGTATCTAGGTGATTCTAGATCCTGTCAAATTAACAGTCAATTATTAGCCATCGCAATACTCGTTGTTAGAACACTGAGTATCCCTACAGCCTATAGAAATACATGTGTGAGTGTTGACCTGTAGACTAGGAGCCCACAGCTGGGGAGTTGCCCAGTTTGTTGGACAAAATGGCTATAAATGATTACTAAAGTTAGTAACACCCCAAAAGTTTTAAAAAGTTAGACATTTGCAAGATAGATAGGAGAGGTGCATCTATGTGAACTCTGTCAGTAGTAGCATATTTTGCTTGTCACTGATATATATTCGTATATATTCATTCCTAGGTTAATGAGGTTTCCAGGGAAGAAGGAAAGACAAAGTACTTTTGGAAGAATTCTTGATATTAGAGAATGTACCAGAAAGGTGGTCCATGCCTGCCTTCATCTAAATGATGTGTAAAGTGTGGAAGGCACTGAGGTCTGGGCATGGATAGCAGTGTAGATAGATAAATTTGCTCATGCCTTTCCTGTTTCATTTCCAAATCAAGTATGGATTGACTAGATGTGCCACCTGTTGCTAAATGTTAGGCATAGAATGGTAATGCAAATGCTTGGTCTCTGCCTCCCAGAGAACTTACTCTGGGACCCTGGTTGTATAGGTGTGGCATTCGTGGGGCCTGTCCTGTCTTTCCAGACCTTGCTCTGTCCACTCTTCTTTTTCCTTTTCTGTGTCACTGCATGCAGGCATCTTGTTCATCCTCTCTACTTGTGTGCTCAGGGGGTCCCTTTTGGGTGTACAGCACTTACATGTAGTGAAATTGATTGTGACCATAGGGTCAGGCCAAATTGGATTTTGTAGAGGCGTAGAGTGGGTGAAGTATGGCTGCTTTATACAGTCACATTTGAGCAAATAGGCCTCTTTCATTCTGTTGATGTTTCATGTCTGAATTCCAGATTGGTGGCGGTAAACACATGATGAACGACCACTTGCACGTTAGCAGCCACAGCCACGGACAGATCCAGGTTCAGCAGCTGTTTGAGGATAACAGTAACAAGAGGACAGTGCTCACAACGCAACCAAATGGGCTTACGACAGTGAGCAAGACAGGCTTGCCTGTGGTGCCCGAGCGGCAGCTGGAGAGCATCCACAGGCGGCAGGGGAGCTCCACCTCTCTGAAGTCCATGGAAGGCATGGGGAAGGTGAAAGTCACCCCCATGACACCTGAACAAGCGATGAAGCAATACATGCAAAAACTCACAGCCTTTGAACACCATGAGATTTTTAGCTACCCTGAGATATATTTCTTGGGTCCAAATGCAAAGAAGCGCCAAGGTATGACAGGTGGACCTAACAACGGCGGATATGATGATGACCAGGGATCATATGTGCAGGTGCCCCATGATCACGTGGCTTACAGGTACGAGGTCCTCAAGGTCATCGGAAAGGGGAGCTTTGGGCAAGTCGTCAAGGCCTATGACCACAAAGTCCACCAGCATGTGGCCCTGAAGATGGTGCGGAACGAGAAGCGCTTCCACAGGCAGGCGGCCGAGGAGATCCGGATCCTGGAACACCTGCGGAAGCAGGACAAGGACAACACCATGAACGTCATCCACATGCTGGAGAATTTCACCTTCCGCAACCACATCTGCATGACGTTTGAGCTGCTGAGCATGAACCTCTATGAACTCATCAAGAAGAACAAGTTCCAGGGCTTCAGCCTGCCCCTGGTGCGCAAGTTTGCTCACTCGATTCTGCAGTGCTTAGATGCTTTGCACAAGAACAGAATAATCCACTGTGACCTTAAGCCTGAGAACATTTTGTTAAAGCAGCAGGGTAGAAGCAGTATTAAAGTGATTGACTTCGGCTCCAGTTGTTACGAGCACCAGCGTGTCTACACGTACATCCAGTCGCGCTTTTACCGGGCTCCAGAAGTGATCCTTGGGGCCAGGTACGGCATGCCCATTGATATGTGGAGCCTGGGTTGCATCTTAGCAGAACTCTTGACGGGTTACCCCCTCTTGCCTGGGGAGGATGAAGGGGACCAGCTCGCTTGTATGATTGAGCTGTTGGGCATGCCCTCCCAGAAACTGTTGGATGCATCCAAACGAGCCAAAAATTTTGTGAGCTCCAAGGGTTATCCCCGGTACTGCACTGTCACGACTCTTTCGGATGGTTCTGTGGTCCTCAATGGAGGCCGCTCCCGGAGGGGGAAACTGAGGGGCCCGCCGGAGAGCAGAGAGTGGGGGAATGCACTGAAGGGATGTGATGATCCTCTTTTCCTTGACTTCTTGAAACAGTGTTTAGAGTGGGATCCTGCAGTTCGCATGACCCCGGGCCAGGCCTTACGGCATCCCTGGCTCAGGAGGCGCTTGCCAAAGCCTCCAACCGGGGAGAAGACAGCAGTGAAAAGGATAACGGAAAGCACTGGTGCTATCACGTCGATTTCCAAGTTACCTCCACCCTCCAGCTCAGCTTCCAAACTGAGGACTAATTTGGCACAGATGACAGATGCCAATGGGAATATTCAGCAGAGGACAGTGTTGCCAAAGCTCGTTAGCTGAGAGGCCCCTGATGCTGGTAATCTGAAAGATACGTCATAGCTGAGCCTTATTGGGTTGAAAAGAGTAGCTCAGACCTGTTTTTATTTGCTCAATAACTCAACTCATTTGTATCTTTTCAGCACTTAATGTAAGACAGTTGTTTGTTTTGTTTTTATAAATACACGGGGACAAATGCTTTAAGTTTTTATACTTTCTGAAACTGATTTTTCTTGTGTTCTAAAAGTACGATGAGCCTTACTGTATTTAGTGTGGCAAGTAATCCCATCAGTGGCAGGCCATTGATTGCTTCATGACTGCCACACATTTACAGATTGGTCAAACACATTCACTATGTTTTCATGGCTCCTCTTCTACTCTCCCCAGGGAGCCGGCCCCCAAGGGCCCTCCTCTCTCCACGCACCAGGTTCATGCACAAGAGCAGTGTGCCCCACTTCCATTTTCCATAAAGTAATCTGGATCATAGTGCTGGTCAAAGGAGAAGGGTCAGGATGAAAATCTCTAAGAAAGACTGCAGTTAAGAGATTTTTTTTTTCTCCTGACATGTGCTCAAATAATTCCACAATAAGATCCTCAAACTTTAAGACTGCCCAGTTAGCATTCTGACATTCTAAAGCCACCAAGCAGCATTTAGTGGATAAATGGAAACTGAGATGTGTGAGTCCTTCCCAAGTTTCCAGTATGATCTGCAAGCTGTTTTGCTAGGAAGCCTCTTATTTATGGAGTTGGTATTCCACCTAATTTTAGAACCTTTCCACAACTGTTCCTTGCTTCCCTTTCTCTTGTCTGTTCCTCTTTTACCACACATCTGTTGCCTGCATTTAGTTTGTCTCCCTTTGGCCGTCTATCCCAGACTGTTAATACAGAAGGAGACATTTGAGCTGTGACTGTGACCATCGTTTCATACTCCAGTTTCAAAAAGAACAGCAGCCTAGCTGCTTCCAGTGGGGATTGCCATAGTTCCAAAGAAGATTTAGCCGACTAGAGTGAGTTCACATTTTTCAGGTGCCGCTGAGGTTCACTTAGCCTGGGAAAATACCAACTCTTTCTTTAGAAAGAAAGAGGGTTGAAATCCTCTTGATGAAGACAAGTCACTGTGGCCATTCAGTCTGGCCAAGTTTTAAGAACACATTTATTGGAGGAGAAGTTCAACCTCAAGTTAAATGGTTTGATTTATTCTTTGCATCATTAGAAGAACCATAGAAATTGCATTCCTCTATTTAGTTTTTCTTTCTTTTTCATTGCACTGATGTTTTTGTGGGAATGACACTTTACCTGGAAAAATAACTGAGAGTTAGGTAAAAGAATATTTTCTTCTCTGAATAATAATTATTTTCACAATGAAAATTTCAGTATTTTATCACTAATGTATGAGCAGTGATAATATATCAGTTTCGAGGCACGTGGAAAGAATTTTTTTAGTATGTGCAATTTAATAGAGAAAGATTTCTGCCTGTTTGGACAATAGGTTTTGGATAGTATGAATTAGAATAAATAACCTTTTATATGCACAGATATTATTGTATTACCTGTAAATTGATTTACAAGTACTTAAAGCACGGTCCCCACTGAGGCCAAGAAAGTTTCCGGTTCCATTCTCTTAATCCTGCATTTTCTCTTACTTTAAAATAAAATAAAATAAAACATGTCATTTTGAACAAAACATTTTTCTTATCTTGAGGTTTTGCCAGTTGATGGTAGAAAATATGCTCAGGAATTATTTCAAATATTTGCCAAAAACCAGTAATAAGATTAGCTTATTAATAAGTTAGTGATATTGCTATTTGCTTTACTATTTAAGGATGTTACTGGTAAATTAATTTCTACTTCTGTACTTAGAAATTATAGCTTATTCCCCCAGTCAAATTTTTTTAGCATACTGTGCACATTTCTGTGTAACCTGTGAAAGTGCAATAATATGTCAATAAGTTACATTTTAAATGATGCTCATGTGACAATACTCCCAATCAGTGGCTTATAGGTTTATTTGTGTATTTATTAAAAATTAGGCTTAAAGGCATAAGAAGTATAGGTTTAGGGGCTTTGTAAAACTATGTGCCTCTTAATGATGGTTAGTGTCTTTAGGTCATTAAAGTAAATGAAAAGTATGTAAGACCTCTTTTCCCTTTACAAGGTTCCTTTTCTACTCTTGTGTGAGGTGTCAGTACCTGAACCTGAGCCTGCCATTATGAACCCCCTATGAGGTGACTGCACCTGTGACAGTTTAGAAACTAACTGACACCACTTCCTTGTCTTTCCCCCACCACACAAAACTGGTTCTACAGGTGTGAGCAGAGCAGAGCGGCATTTGTGATGGTCGTCATTCACAATGCAACCGGAAACTTAAGCCAAACTATAATGTGCAGTGCTGTGGGGCTTTTTTTCTCTGTCTTTTTTTTTTTTGTCCAAATACAGTGAAATTTCCTTTATTCACAAGAGCCGCCATGTTTCAGCATTTAGTAGAGCTGTTTTGACAAGAATCTTAGTTTAATTATGTCTAAAACAAAACTGTTGTATCTTTGTGATTTAAAACCTAAATAAATAAAGGGCTCTGATAGGCTACGAGGAGTTGGCTTGGAAACAGTCCTTGGTCTCACAGGTTACCATTGTCTAGGGATGTCTGAGCTGTTTTCAGATATAGGAATAGCACAGTATCGTCTTATCTCTGGTTGCAGTGTCATTTGACTCCATTTCTTGCACCACCAGAGTGTTCTTACCACTTAAGTGTATCTCTACAACAGTGGAACACCGGAGTGATGCAACACAGTGTAGATTAACACCGTAGAGGAGAAATTGTGCCCTTAGTGTTAACAATGTGCCTTTTGTTCTGAATGCCATGTTGTAGGGCATGCATTTTTTGGCCTCTTTAACTCTGAGCACTAGGCAGTAAGGATGGAACCCACCTCTGCAAATATAACATCTGTCTTAAATATCTAGTTATAGGCCTTAATAGAAACCGTAAGGCATGAATCGTCATTGGGCGCTGAGCACGATAACCATCGGTTAGTTACACCAGAAATTCCTATGTTTAAGGGTTTAAAGATGGTCTTTGTTGTATCTTAACATCAGACTGATTTTTTAAATGATATTTTTTGTTATGCTAACACTAGACAAAAATCAACTGTATTTGTAAAAATTTACCTCAAACCATTTAATTTTATAGTGTGATTTATCCCAGGGCATTTGGTATGAACCAAAGTGCATTCCTTTTATATGTGCCTGGCTCTAGTAAGGATGGCCAGGGATTTTTACAATTTGGGTGCAAGGCACTTAAGCCACTTTTAAACTTAATGGGTGGTGTGGAGTCATAAATGACTCCCAACAGAATGTTAGAAAACACTTTAGGCATCAGTAGCATTGGGCCATATTGGAATCTTAAAAGCATGAATTATTTTAAAGAGAGCATTCATTTTTGTAATTTTTTTCATCAAGAATATTTCTGGTAAGCAGAAGTCTTTTTAAAAACAAAACTGATTTGGTTGGTAAAGGTTTTAATATTGCCCAACATAATGCTGTGGTAGCATTTAAAAACAAAAGTATTTGTGAACTCTCTGTTTCTTGGGGGCTTGTACATCTCTCTGCTATGGACATATATAAAATTAATTGTAATTATACTCAGCTCAACTGCTACAGTTATGTCTAGGCAGTGGCTTGGGTTTTATCGAGCAACATCTTAGACACGTGACTGTAATATGCTGCAACTGTGTGTACTGAAAATATGTGAAAATGGTTGAATGTGGACTGTGTATATATGTATGTAAAATTCTCTGTGAGATGCTGCTGTCGCCACTTAACATGGAAAATGTTCTAGTGGATTTTAATCCTAGTGGCCAGTTCTATGATACTGTATGTATTGTACAGCTGATGGCAGGAGTGAGACTGTTTAGTGAATATTTGTTAAATTTTATTGTTGTGGCCAGAGATAATTTCAGAATAAAATTTTAATGTCCTACCTTACTTCTCTCCCCTTTTCTAACTAAAATTTAACTCCTAATCTATTTCTGGTATTATTCTTGGTCTGTTAGTCTGGAGAGACTTTAGAATGTCAAATGGATAGTTCTGGGTCAGTGGCTTCAGAAGTTAAAACAGTCCATTTTGCTAGTTTGGTCACCAGCCTTCATTTATTTTATTATAAATACGCAAATTCTGACTTAGAAAGACGTAAGGTTTTAGGAGGAAGCTCCTACTAAGACTAAGTCTCAGGATATTCTATTTACCTTTAATAATTTATGTTAATTTTTCCCCATAGGATATCTGCCATGTTCACTACCCTGCCAGAACTTCAGATCCTTGTAACTTCAAGGTGATTGTGAGTCAGGGGAGTGGGGCAGTCAGTCCTTCCCACCAGTCTTCATCATTTCTTGTGCAGAGTCCCAGTCAGTCAATTCACATGCTCCCTCGGGTCTAGCCTGTGCTCTCATATGTGTATGCCTTTACAGTTTTGATCCTTGGTGTTTTATGTGGTTCACATGTGGTTCACATTTTAGTGTCTCCTGACATGGCAGGGTCAGGAAGTAGGACCTGTGAGCTGCAAGTAACTTGTGGTCTGTCGAGCTCAGCTAACACCAAGCTAGAGTTTACTTACTGATGGTAGCAAGCAGATGCTCTGGTGGTGTGTCAGACGTTGTGGGGGCATAGTATATATAGGTAAGCCTTCCCCTCTCAGAAAGAACTACCTCACTTTTTTTTTTTTCACATTCCCTCCTGCACCAGTAGCTGAACAGTTCCGTGACTCCATGTCAATAGGTAGGCTTTGCTAAAAGAAGGGACACTAAGAAGGGACAAAAGCCCAGCTTTTGTCTTAACACAGCTATACCATAGATTTACATATTTGCTAATCTTGCTGCTTAAAGATGGTACTCAGTGTAAAAATGCAAATCAAACAAAAAAACAATTGCTCAAATAGCAAAACTAAAAAATTAATTCTAAGAGATGAGTGGCATATGTATAACTTGGAAGTTGGAGTTGAGGCAGATCTATAGTGCCCTTGACTGAGCCAGGAAAAATCAGTTTCCATCCCTCTTTGCTCAAATCTTTCAGAGCTCTTTCTTAAATTGATGAATGTTATATTCTGTTTGAGTATCTAAAATCACTTCCGTTTTGAAATCAACAACTATACAAATAAATATTCTTGGGACCTCAAAGTTGCATTAGGAAATGTTCTTGGTTACTAACATTGGTACTGGTCTTTTAAAGAAGGAGGGGATGTTTGATTACTTTTGTGTTTTGGAAAGGGCATTTTGGAAAATACCCAGAGGAAGGGTATTTTGGACTTCATTGTTTCAACTTTTTTTTTTTTTTTTTTTGAGATAGGCTCCCATGTAGCCCAGGCTGACCTCAAACTTGTTATGTAGCTAAGGGTGACCTTGAAC